GTCAGCGATGCCGTACGCCGTATGAAAATGGTGGTTGGTGAGAGCTGCACGTCTGCGTCGGTGGTGAGCGAAACGCAGGCACAGGAGGTGGGAGAGCTGCTGGAGGAACTCGAGCAACTGCGATCGAACCTTTTCCGCTGCTACACGCACGGCGTTGGAATGCTTGCCAAGGCGTACGTCACACTTATGCCGTCGCTGCGGCGCACCACGACGACATCGTCGACCAGTGAAAAGAACAATAGCAACAACAAGAATGGAGGTTTGTGCGCTCGTGTGAGCCGTGACTTCGTTTCGTCAGTACTTGTAAACAAGCTGCTGAATCTTCTCTCCGTTGTCGTGGACCGTACCGCGCCGTTCCTGCAGCGATATGACGAGGTGTACGACGGCATTGACTTCTTCGCCGCCAAGGCGGAGGGCAACGAGGTGGAGAAGGAGGATCAGCAGCAGCACGGCCGTCGCCTGCGTGTGGTGCGACACAAGCCCTCGGAGGGCACGAACGAGGAGGGTCAGCTCGACCCCGTGACGGCCTTCATGGCGCAGTGCAACAGTAAGATGGTGCTCGACCACGTTGCGGAGCAGGAGGAGGCGCTCCTCGCGCTAGTCGCCAACATTCTGCTTGTCTTCGTTGATGCGCTGCACCACAACTGCCAGCGCGTCTCCCTCGACGCGGCCGCCACCCTCGAGGTGCGGGAGCTCGCTATCATCGACAGCCTTGCCGACGCCCTGTGCCTACCAGCTGCAGCAGCGCCACTCATCGCCAGTGAGCTCGTGACGCCCTGCATCCTACATGTTGTAGTGCGCCTCACACCGGACGCGAAGACGCCGCACGAGCGGGACGTGCTGCTGAGCCGCAAAGAAGCGCACTTCCGCACTGACTACCTCACGCGCGTGGAGGAGCACTGCCAGCTGGTGGTGGACGCGATGCTTGGCATGTTCCTCGCCACGCCGCAGCAGCGTATCACGCGGGAGGTGCGCGCGTCCGGTTTCATGACGCCGCGGATGGACTGGCAGCGTGTGTCAGCTCTCACTGCGGGAACCGTGCGGCCGTACATCGCCGACAGCATCATGCACATCGCACGTGCGCACGAGCGGCTACAGCTGCTGCGCCAGCCGCTGCTCGGTGCCGCCGTGACACAGCGGCTGGTAGCGCACCTCGCGGTGACATTCGTCACGGCGCTGACGTCCGATGGAAACGCCTTTGAGATATCTCTCGACTGCAGCGCCAATTTCCTCTTACATGGGCTGCTGCTCATTGAGGCAGAGGGGCGCACACTGCTCGGCATAGTCGACGCTCTTGTTGAGAGCATTGCGAAGAACCCGCGTGCGGGAGCCGTCCTGCCGGAGCTCGGCGTGGCCCGGGAGGTCCTGCAGGGCGCCGTGGCGGCGCTGCGCCAACAGGGCAACGCGGTCTGCGAGGCACTGGCCGCACGCAAGCCGAGGGAAAGCATCAGCAATAACGAGAATTCAAATGCCGCGGGGGAGGAGGTGTTGGCCGTGCGGCAGCGTGAGGCTCGGTGTGAGGCGGTGGTCCAGAGTGCGATGAGGCGCTCGCGCTCCATCGTGCAGGCCATCGTCACGTACGTTGAGGACAGTGCCGTCACGGCGGCATTCCAGCCGCTCGGTTGTGGCGCCGGCAGCGGCCTTACCGAGAGCGTCGCAGAGCGGNCGCAGAGCGGCTGGCGAAGCGAAGCGATGGATACCGCCTCGCGCACACCGCACAGCGGCGCAGGGAGAAGCACGTGAAGGTGGTGAAGCCGGAAACTGAGGTGGAAGGAGCAGCAGCAGCAGCAGTAGTAACAGTACCAGAGGGAGAAGCAGTGGAAGCATCTGCACCTGCAAGAAAAGTCATGCGAAAAAAGGGGAAGAAGACCATGGCTTCTGCTGCTGCTGCTGCTCCAGTAGAAGACAGCGCGGAGGCTCCTGCTGCAGCGGTGTCGACGCCGCGAACGATGGAGCGTGCATCAGTCCTGCAGCGCGCGGCAGAGCAAGAGGGGAAGCGGGCTAGTGTTACGGCGGCGCTGCCCAGCGGAGTAGACACCGACGGACAGTATGTAGAGAAAGACGGCACTCAGGAGAAAAACAACAACAATGATGGCGCTGGAGTTGCGCGGCAAGCCGCGCGAAAGAAACGTGGGACACGTGTCGAACGCAGAGTCGACGTGGACGCTGGTGGCGGCACCCGCAGCGACGCTGTGAATGTGCGCCGCTTCAAAAGAGCACTTGTGCTGTGATGCAGAACGAAGTGCCCATAGTGTTGCTTTTTGTTTATGCTAATGCTAGTGATGAGAAGAGCGTGATGCTGGTATGGGACGGATGTGAGGTGGCGGTGCGCGTGTGTATGAATCGTTCAAGTGTTGCGCGCTTCCCAGGCAACAGCACCTTTCTCACACCCGATCTCTTTGTCTCTGTTCACAAACCCCTGCAAGGAATCACAGAGCCAAGGACAACAACCGCAGCGGCAAGGGTTAGGCGAAGCCACAGAAACAGAGACACACCACAGTGCCATGTCAAACTGCATTTTCTGCAAGATCGTGGAGGGGGCTATACCGTGTCACAAGGTCGCAGAGACGGCGAAGGTGCTGGCCTTCATGGATGTCAATCCCCTCTCGCGCGGTCACGTGCTGGTGATCCCCAAGACGCACGCCGAGTTCCTGCACGAGGTGGAGCCGGAGACGGCGGGGGAGATGGGAACGCTCGTGGCGAAAATCAGCCGCGCTGTGGCTGGTGACGGAGAGCCCAAGACGCAGTACAACATTCTGCAGAACAACGGTAGGCTCGCCCACCAGGAGGTGCCGCACGTGCACTTCCATATCATTCCGAAGCGCAGCGCGGAGGAGGGCCTCGGTGTGCGGTGGAACACCATGGAGACGAACCACGCGCTCTTCGCCGAGGACGCTGCACAATACAGGAATGCGCTAGAGAAGCTATGAAGCCGACATCTATTTGGCTGTTGTGTCTGTGCGTGCGGGGGAGGGTGAGGATCATTACCTTGCGAAGGACGAAGAAAAAAAAAAGGAGTAGATATAGGATTGTTCTTACTTGCTAAACTTATCACTGCAATCATCTTAGGATGAGCTTCTCGTTGAGTTGTGTTGCTCCCTCTTTTTGTCGGTGGGTGTGCCAGCCAGGTGCCTATTTCTCTCAAGCACATTCGTTTCTCTCTACTCCTTTCCCTTCGGCTCTGACGTTCTTGCTTTGCTGTGTTGTGGCTCTTGCTGCTCAAGTCCAATAAGAGGGGACAGGAGCGAAGCCACACACACACACACTTACGCTGACACGAAGAGAATATACAACCAGAGAAGTGATGCAGCGGCAACATTCCAGCGGGGCACGTGGGGGCGAGCAGGACATGCGTTCCCGTAGCGGCGGCGGTGGCGGCGTGAAGCTCAGCAAGCAGGATGAAAAGCTGCTGGACGAGCGTATCAACGCCAACACGCTGGTCTACCCCAAACACTCCTTAGTGGCAGTCGCGTTCATGGCGGCGTTCCAGCCAGTGTACCTGTCGCATGCGGTGAATGGGCTCGATTGGTCACTGCCGACCAACTTCTGCCTCTACGTTGTCGTGATGCTCTTCACTGCGTACATGCTGGCGCAGGCGTACATCGTCATGGTGGAGAGCGAATTCTGGCGCCGCCAGCGGCACTACAACGAGGTGCGGGAGAGCGATGAGAAGCAGCTGCACAAGTTACGACTGCAGGTGGCGGTGGGGTACAGTCTCTTCTTCCTCAACAGCTTTTTCTCTGTTGTCTGTACGACGCTGCACATTTACATCTTCCGTCACTCGGACCCACGTGCGAGTTTCATTCTGTCGCCGACCATGACGGCTGCGCTGCTGTGGCTCATTGCGCAGAAGAATGAGGAAAGCCGTCGCCGCCGTATGGCGCAGCACAAATAAGTCACACGTGGCCGTTAGTGCCTTTACGGATATACGAATCTTTATATATCTGTCCGTCCATTCATGCATGCAATGCGTGCAGGCATTAAGAAGCGAGAATGAGGGAGAGAGGGAATAGTAACACGCGAGCAAAGACGAGGAAACGCGGCAGGAAAGAGAGAACGAAAACAACAACCTTACGAGGAATGAGAAAAAGGGTGTGGGGTGTGAGAGGAGGAGGAGGGGGGCAAGACAGGAAGTGTATGCGTATACGCATACATGCACGTATATCTGTGTGTGTGTGTGTGTGCGTATATGTCTGTGTGTATGTTTGTGTGTGTGTCGAGGGGGGGATAAGGAAGAAGCATTGAGAACGGCTTTAAAAGGTGCACCGCCGCCCACCCGTGTATGTGCGTCTGCGTGTGCTTGCGTGCGTGTGTGCCCGTTATGCTTCCTCCTGCTCTTCCTGCTATGTATGCGTGCGGCGGCAGCAGCCTGTACGCGTACCCACACACAGACAGAGACACAGAGGAAAGAAAATAAAAGAGAGACTGAGAGTTAGGAGTGAGGGGGGNATGGGTGCATCTGTGTATTTGTGTGCGTGTGACCGTGGCTGATGTAGCATCACCCTTTTCCGTTACTCTCAGTTGCACATCTCACTAAATACATTTGCGCTCTGCTTTTTTTTTTTCTGTTTCTTACTTGCTGACTCACTGTCTCGGTTTCCCACACTCCATGTGCGTGATGGTGCAGCTGAAACGGAGCAAGCGGGCACTGTTGCTTCCCTCAAGCTGCTTCCTGGTCGCGTCTCTCTTACTCTCTCTCTCTCTCTCTCTTTCCCCGTCTGTGTGGTGTATTTTTTTTTTTCTTTCTTCTGCTGCTGGTGCTGATGTGCACAACAAGAAGTAGTGCGGGTGGTGTCCTGCAGAAGGCAAAGTGTGTGCGAGCATAGAGGGCCTCGGGCGACGGTGCACGCATACACACAGCATCAATAACAACAACAGTAACACGAGCGGAAACATCAAGAACCCCAAATAGAAAGAAAGAAAGAGACGCATTGTGTGTGGTGCCTATACAAGTTGCGCACATGACATTCCATCACTTCGCGTACAGCACGTCNCATTGTGTGTGGTGCCTATACAAGTTGCGCACATGACATTCCATCACTTCGCGTACAGCACGTCGCCGAACAGGGACCATGGTGTTCTTGTCGCCTCCACCTTCGCCCCTCTGACGCTCCACGGCTGTGCGGTGGAGGTGGAGGTGCGCGGCAACTGCGCGCGTGTGCAGGTGCGCTACGAGTACGAGAACCACACTGGAAAGGACCAGCGCGTGATCGCCGTCTACCCGCTGCCCACCGCATGGGACCTCATGTGCTGTACGGCCGACTACGCCGGTGACCACCTGCTGACGGACTACGTCGCCTCGGTGCCGCTGCGCTCGTCTGCGGCTGCTGGCGCCGCCGGCCTGCCGGGGCCGAAGTCCGACCACACCGTGTGGACCGTCGCGTCCCAGGTTTTGCCGTGGGTTGTC